TATTATTCATTACCACTTTCTAAAAACCAGGCAAATTAAAAATAAATTTTAAAATAGTAAAAATAAATTCATTTTATCAGTATTTTACTTAATTTATTGCATTAGAACATTAAGAGTATGTTCTTTTTGCTCCATAGTCATTCATACGTCTAATAAATGATTAATTTAAAGATAATTATTTCTTCATAAGTTAAACATACTGTGTGTCCCAAAAAGCAAGGTTCACTTTATCACCCATTACCAGGTACATATAATTCAATTTCGTTTGCGGAACATTAAACTAGACTAATGGATAATAAATTCCTGACTTAAATTTTTTTAACTCATGTACATGCATAACAAAACTCCTATACCATTTTCAGATTGTTCGATTTTTTTCAAGAAATTTGGATCAACTAGTGTTGTAAACTCAAAATTGGCTAAATTAGAGCTATAGGTTTAATTTTAAAAATCTTATTAAATTTGAATATTATTTTTTAATTAAACGTATTATTTTCTTCTCAACAACATGATGCACTCAAAATTATTATTATTAAAGTAATTAATTATTTACTATTTATGAATTATCATTTCATTTTACTGTTACACATTATGAAATAACATGTATTTTCAAGAAACAAAATTCTAAATTTCTATTTCATTTTTAAACAAAACTATAGAATTTTATTTACGATTTAATTCACAGAAATGACAAACATTAACTATTCAATAAATTGTTTGAAAGTCAACTCACCAAGGAGTTCCTTCAACAGGTGTACTGGATACAGGTCTAGTTTTGTCTTGAACTTTAAGTTTTTCTAACACTTTAGGTTTATCGTCAGTTTTACTTTTTTTGTTAGGCTCTTGAAGTTCTTCATCTTTCCTTTTAAATGAACCAATATCTGAATTTGAACCATTCATTAATTTTAAAGGGAAACCCATGTCCATTTGAGGATCTGACTTGTGTTCCATTTTTTGTTCAGCTTCCTTTCTTAATTTAGCAGCAGCAACTTCTCTAGCCACTGAAATATAAATTGGAGTAAAATATGAAAGTATAAAGTAACATAAAAAACATTTAATAACATCATTTACTCACTATCAAGATTTCTAAGAGCCTCAGGTTTTTCCCAAACAGATTCTGATGTTTTCATACTATAATAATACATTCTTCCATCAGGTGAACGATGTTCTGACCATTCAGCAGCATTTGCTAAAATTACTGGATCTATCTAAAAAATTGAGATAAATATTTTAATACTTCAATCATTGTTTTTGCAATACACAATATTAAGATATCATACTTTGCTATTAAGTTCCATTCCAGGCATCATCATAGGTGGGGGCACAAATCCTGGTGGCATCATACCCCATGGAGCTGCTTGTGGAAATCCTGGAGGTGGCATACCGAACGGTGGTGGTCCACCAAATGGTGGAAAATTTGGCGGAGGCATCATGGTATTAGGAGGCATCATACCAGGAGGGGGGCCCATCATTGGGGGCATCATTTGACCAGGAACTCCACCTAACGGAGGTACTCCAACATTTGGAGGATGCATTAAAGGAACTTGTTCAGTATCTAAGTCAAAAAAATTGTAAATTATAATAGCATCTAATTAAAATGTATTTCACACAAAAAAAAATATTTTTACTATGTGATTTGTCTTCAATATTTTTCATTTCAACATCATTAGGAGTTTGTTCACTTTCATTAGGTTTAACATAGTTATTGGCATTTGGATTTCCAAGATGTTCAACCTGAACAATTATTAAAATATAATTACATTCTTATTTCATATTATACATTTTTAAATTAAGATACCTGTTCTTGAGAAATAACAGTAATATTAGGTCCTGATGGTTTATCCCAAGTAGTTTCACGCGTTCTAGCATTATAATAATATGATTTTCCATCACCGGCTTTAGTTTCAATCCACACTTCTCCAGACATTATTGGTGGTGGACCTTGCGGTACTCCACTATTTGGTGGCATTACAGGTGGCATCTATAAAATTTCAAAAGTATAAATAATTAATTTAGAGATTACAAAAATACAAATGTCTATAGTTAATACAAATTAAATTTGTATGATAATGAGTATAATCATCAAATTTTTAAAGTAAGTCATACTTGTAATAATGACGGCAACTGATTTGCTGGGGGACCTCCATTCTGACCATTTCTATCTTGTTCATTAAATGATGGTGCTTGACTTTCTCCAAATTGTGGACCTCCTTGAGATATTGGAGGTGGACCATTCATCATATTTGGAGATGAATCTTGAGGAACACCATTCCAGTTTTCATCTGCGTTTTCTGAAGACCATCTACTTCTTTGAGGTTTAAAACCTCCATTTGTGGGACTATTAAAACCATATGAACCACCACCTCGATAGTTAGAAGATCCTTTAGGATTATTGTTACCAAATCCTCCAAATCTTCCAGCTTCATTACTTCCTTTACCATTATTCCAATTAGGCTCATTTCTATATTCAGAAGATCCATAATTGTTATCAAACTGACCGTTACTACCATCTCCAAATTCCCTATTGAAGCGTGAATGTCAAAAATACAAGATTATTAAGTATGCATAAAATATAGGTAGGTAAGATTGTAACCATTAAAAATACCTGAAAGAACCTCTCCCATTATCATCAAATGATTGTTCATTTTCAGAATTTGGATGTCCATTTTCTTGATCATATGAATCATTCATTGACTCATGATTGTTAGAGTTCATATTATCCTGTCGATTTGAGTTCATATTACTATCTTGATCATTAGAATCTACATTGTCATTTTCAAACGAAGTCATACTATTTTGAGCATCATTAAATTCTTGTTGTGTTGAATCCACTATAGGATCCATCAAATTAGAATCGGCCATCTAACTATGAAGTAATATAGTTCAAATTTGATATTATAACAATAGATATAAAATGGATTAATATATATTTACACCAAAAAAGTGTATTGTTGATAAAATAATTAGAACTGGTCGCAAGACTTTTAAAAGTAACCTATCTATGTGATGATGTATAGATGGTCATTTATACCAAAATATTTTGTAGTTTAATGTAACTAACAGTTTAAGCACGGTGATACAAAAAATCCCGCCATAACAATTTATTACAAGAGATAACTAGCACTTAAGTTTATTTAAAAACAGACAAATTTCTTATTCCAAAACTATTTTCATTATATTTTTCATCTAGTTAGTATATTATAATAATAGTTTAAAGAATATTTAACAATACTTACAATATTTTTTTACTAGTTTTACTATCAAAAATTATAAAATAATGTGGATAGGTAGGTGGTATATACCGAACTTTACAAAATTTATAATTTTTTTATTTTTTAAGTAATGTAATTATAGTACCTATCTGAAGAGTATTATCTATTTAATAAATTAATTAAAATAGGTAACTTTATCTATGAATAAGGTGGTTGATCTAGGTTTTATTTTTGATAGAAAACTCTTACAGTTCATACATTGAAAATATGTCCTTTCAAGCCGAGTATCAAGCACTTCAATGTTTTGGGATGGGTCAAAAGTTGACTAGAGCATTGGTTATAAGTTATCTGCCTTTACTAAATCTCTCTATTATTCAATAATTTGTTCAGTCTTGGAGTGTGGTACAGTAGTCTAGGATCCTATCACAAATACTGACAAGTGTCAGCTCAAGCGTCTCCAGCAGAAATTCCAGTTTATGCTTTTGTTTTAAGGATTGAATCCTGTTCTTCACACCCTTGATTAAAAATCATTAGCTGATGGAAAAGTTGACAGTAATCTGGTGTTTTTGTCTAAAATGTTTAATTTCGATATAGATGCTCCAGTAATATTGGGTAATATAAATAGCCTCGCCCCTTCTTGCAACTTTCAAGGTTTCCATTCATTTTCTATTCCCAATTTTCCTACACATTATCTAAAAAACAATTCTTTAAATAACGTGTTGAGGTTGGCCTAACAAGGCCCTATCACTGCTCATTTGATTTATTCTTATTATTACTTGTATAAGTGTTATTGATAGGTATTAAAATTATTATATTATTTCAATATCATTCTCTAATTATATTTTTTTTTTTTTTTGTTACTTTTTACAGTTTCTTAAAAATGCTACATCTTGGTTTGCCTGTTTAGCTTAAAACATATTTTGAATTAGGTTCACCCCGTGTGTATACACTTATATACATACATAAATAACATAGGTAATGGTGATTGAAAAATCAGTTGATAAATAATAAATTACATGTTCTAAATGCGTTTACAAATTATACTTAGAAAATAATTCTACCTACAAATTCAATAAAATAGTTTTATAAATTGTTGTTTTGATATTAGGTAAAAATAAGTTCTTACTGACAACGATATTGATTTAACAATAATATTAAAGCATTTAGCTTTTTAAAATACTAACTACCTATTAATTAATATTAAACAAATTACAGTATTATAATATTACCTTCGGATGAAAACAGTCAATCGAGCAACGGCGAAGTTGTTATTTCTACGCGAATTCAGATATTATCAACATTAACACGAAGTACACGTAGTATCAAACACTCGTTTAAAATTCTAAGTAAATATAATAATTGTTAGAAGCGCTTCGCCGATCCACGAAATAACGAAAAGTAAATAGCAATTGTACGGCGTAGGTATTAGTAAATACTAAAAAAACATTAAATTTGTCATGCCAGATCCATAATATAGGAAACTCGGAACAGTGAACAGTCCGATGTCGAAACTGACGGAAGTAGACAGTACAGACGTACAGTGTACACAAACCTGCGGACAGTATAGGCACTTGGGTGGACCGTCTTAATGCCGTGAACTATGAACTATGAAGTCTTGCTAGTTAGGAGCGGACGCCTCGTGAACACAGTGTAGGAAATAGACTAATATTAAACATTAATACCGTACAAGTTTTGTTCAGAAAAATATTATATTGTCAATTGTCATGCATTCCATGTTATCAACAATTTTTATTTCAAAACTCAGGTTATGTTTTTTATATAAATAATCAAATATTCCAATGTTTAATTTATGTGTTAATTTGTTTTGCGAACTGTGAAGTCGAAAATTAAATTAATAAATTATTACAAACCGACACTATATATAGACATGAAGTATTTTTCTGTATCGGTGAACCTTATAACATCGTATGATAATTTATATTGTAAAATGTATAATATTATGGTTATTCTTGAATAATAATCTTGCGCTCGTGCTGATAGTTTTTTTATCTATGCATTCAAATAAATCAAATTCGTGAGTTGTGTGTTTTGATTTCAGAACAAGTTATCGTTGTCATTTTTGAACATTCAAATTTTTAAGTGTTATTAAAAATTTTAATTTAAAGTTTAAACGTAAATGCTTATAATATTTTGTTCGCGTATATTACTTTGTAAATATTAACTATGTATGATTCTGTAAAAAAGTTTGTTTCACGACACAAACGTAAATTAATAATCAGCAGTGCATTATTTTGTAGTACTGCGTATGTAGTTTACACTATTAAAAAGAAATTAGCAGAAAAAAAAGAAAAAGAAAGTCGGGAATATCTGGAACGAAGTAGACGTCAACAGCACTATGAAGCTACAGAAAACACTTCAAACCGTATGATAACTGAATTTGTTAAGCAACTTCATGTTAAATATTTTTCCAAAAATTTACGCATTGAAAATATTATTGATAAATTGAAGAAGCAAAATGATTTGGCACTTTGGGAAGAAATGAGAATATGTGTTTTTACTAGAGCATGCTTACTTGTTTATGCTGAAACTATGTTGGTAATAACATTAAAAATTCAACTCAATCTGCTTGGAGGTCTTGTATACAAAAGTCTATCACAAGATTCACCTCCAATTTGTTCAAAAACTCAAGAAGATTATTTGTTACATTTTAGTTATTTCATCGAAGATGGTATTCAACGTTTAGAAGAATATTTACAGATTAAAGTTATTAAATATGTACAGCAAGTTCCTATTCAAGAACAATACAATTTACAGGAATTAGAAAAACTATTTTTTCTCATTCAAACTGAAATTGCAAGTGATACAGATAGTCCTTTTCGATGTATAGATTCATACATGTTACACCAGATGCCACAAGTGCGAGAAGCTCTATTACAAGATATGGTAAATGAAACACGAGAATTATTGAAAAATGACGAGATAATTTCAGTAGCTCGTTACTGCACATCTCATAGTTTTAATAAGTTAATGGATGCTATTACTGTAAATACACCTAATCGGTCAGTAAATTTACCCACTACTGTCAAAATGCCTTTTGCCAAGTGGTTACCAATTGTTGACAGATCGACTAAAGTGACGGAAAATGGAGACTGCACTTTAAAACAAAATGTTCACTTGGATGGAAAAGTCAAAGTGCTTAGCGCAAATGTGTACGAGGCATTTTGCTCTGCTTAATTGTATTTAAAAGTTTTTGTTTTTTTGATTAATAGTATTTTATGAACTTGTTTTGTTTTGTAACTCATATATGTATGGGTATGTATTTTTTTACTCAACTTGTATTTAAATTCTTACAAATGTTAAATTAATTCAACCATGAGTATTTGTTTTTGGGAAATTTGGGAATTTTTATAATCTTATTAGCATTAATATAAAAAAAAACATTTTGTAATATTGCCATGTTTTATGAAATTGAAATATGATCTATTTATCTATTTATCTGTAATGCGTTATAATATGCTACATTAAAATCATATTGAGTTTCACTCAGTGTTCCAAGAAATGTATAATGTGTTTTATTTCTTTAAGTATTAATCATTTTTTTATCTAAAAAAAAGATAAGTTTTACTTCTAATAATGCATAGATTAATACTTATATTCTACTTATAAAAAAATTGATAACAATATTAATTTCAATAAGCTATTAGCTGCTAAAGCACGGTCGTGGTTAAAATATTTTTTTTTGATTCCTAGCATATTCTATATACTAACTGCGTGCTAACTGCTAAGGTAATAACACAGATTTAAATTAAATCATTCATTCCTGGGTGGCTGGGTAGGTAATAAGCAAAAATATACATGAACATCTATTTTTAATCTTTTATATTAAAATAAAAAAACTACCTTATAATAGTTCATCAATGGTGGTCACAGTGAGCATGGGCGGATAGGCCTACCGGGCAACCGGACATTTCCCGGTGGGCCCCCCTTCGTATTTTGGGAATGGGGCCTTTTTTATGGTTAACGCAATGACACATTAATATTATATAATTACAAAAGAAATTTCAAATTTGAAAAATTTTATTATTTTATATTATAATCTTATATTTTTTAAGTTTTGAACTACAAATTATTAATTAACACTGGTTTTGTCAACATTTGAACTTTAAATGCTTATAAACAATAATCATTCCTATGTATCGTTAATATTTTAGCTATAATAAAAACTTATATAGTATATACCTATTACATTTTTATCTTTTTAACCGGACAAATAATTTTTTATTGATATTTGTAGGAAAAAAACTCAAACTAATCAAATACAATTGAAGTGAAAGGTTACCAAACAATTTTGACAAATTTTCTTTTTTTTCCCAATTATTTTAAAAGTACTGGAGGATTTTTAATGTTGACCTACCAAAAGTACTTACTAGATCAAATTTGCTTTTGAAAACATATTCGAATAATAATTCAAATATTTGTCGTAACGATTATTCGAATAACTTATTTGGAAAAACTAGGTATCGAATAATTATTCGTTAGTTTATATTAGTTGCGGCCCATCACTAAGTATATAATATAGGTGCTTATTAATTATTACGATAATTGTAATATAATCATGTATTCATGTAGAATATTAACTAAAAGAAACTATATTTTATAGGTATCTTAGTATAATTTTTACACTTAATAGCAATCAGCAGTATAAAATAAGTAGGGGTTGTCAAATAAATTTTCTAATATTTTTGAAATACAAATTGTGTTTCTTAATGTGTCTATTACATTTATAATTTTCAACATTATTTAAAGTGTAAAAGCCTAAATTAAACACTCAACTTTTATAATTAGATGTACTTAATTGTCAATTGATAATGGAATATAGATGTTGTTATAATATATTTTATAGATTTTCTAGATGTTAATATTGCCAAATATAACAGACAAATCATACACGTCCAATGTTTTGTTTTGATATTGTAGGTAACATAATTAATCTAATACTGTACTTGCGAGCAACTTTTTTTTATGTGGGGCCCCTTTTTAAAATTGCCTGGTAGGCCAAAAATGGCCTATCCGCCCATGAAAGTGAGTATATTTTTATTACTTTATTTTTTCATGTAATCGACGACGCTGCCGAAACACCCGAAACTGCTTGCCAATTACGTTGAATGTTGATACATTCTTATTACTAGCTAATTGACCAAACAATTATCAAAAAATATTTATTAGACTTAACATTAATGTAGGCACCCTCTATAACTTTCACCAATAATTATTATTATTTATTATTAAGGTTTGGAAATTATAGAAGCTAAAAAAGGAAAAATTAAATTTATTATATTTCAAATATGACAGAAAACTATTTCCCATCTTGATATTTCATTTAACTGAAAAATAAGTTTAAAAAAAATGTATAGCGATAGAGATTAAATAATGCACATCCCACCAGTGGCGTGGCGAAGGGTAATTACAGAGACAATTGCCTATGGTATTTTTAAAGTATTGGTGGGTGGGTGTCGCGACTCGCGAATGATACACATACACTACTCGGTACTTGCCAATTTCTTATTATATAAATATACAATACTTTAATATGACTATATGAGTGTGATGTAACTATGTAAGATACTAATATTCGAGAACAATATTATTGTAATTAAAGTTGATACAAATTCAAATAGGATTTTTTTAAGCCAACCCCTCCCCACCTTTATTTGGGCTTGTAGTAGGGGGGTGGGTGGATCTTCGGGCTTTATGTTACTTGCCTCTGGAATATTTTCAGTTTGCCACGCCACTGCATCCCAGTATCCCACAATTATCGTGAAATTAATTGGAAGTCTACTACGACAAAAACAATGAATTACGTACAATAAATAATTTTGAGATTTATATTCTATATTATAATTAAAAAGCACATAGATCAATAAAGAAAAAGATCAACTTTTGGTGCTGATTCGGTATGTGCTCTACCAACAAGTATCTGTTTCGGTATGTGCTCTACCGAAAAATGTCTGAGTCGGTATATTTATATTTTATTAATGATTCTTTAAAGAAAAGTGTCTGAGTCGGTATGATCTATAGTCGTCATACGTCGTTTTGACTGACATTTATTTTATATTCATTCAAAAACGATTATTCATGGTCTGTATGAATGTCTTCTAACATGGCGAAATAAAGGTCCGGACTGTCTTGACGGTAAAGTTGCCAGCAATAGTGATCAAGGTGGGACTGCAAATGATTAAGAGGAACACCCCTCATTTTCTTCAATAATATAATTTTCGCGTCCAACCATGACCTCTCAATGTTTTGAGTGTGGGCTCCTGTATTTGCATCGACATATGAGATTTGGTGATTTACCGTCTTGTGTACAAAACCTCAGCTTGAATGAATTTCTGATCCTGCCTCCCATTCAAGTTCAATTATTGGTAGGAGTGTTTCTCGATCGCGTCGATGTACATAAAAATAACGGCAATCATTTCCATTTTTTAAACCAAATACTCAGGCGCCATCTACCCTTGCACCGTGATTTCAGTTATTAATTACTTCAGCATTTATATCTGTCAAGGCGGGAGGAGCGTCACCAGCTAATAATCTACCCCTATTATACTTGCTTCGACCAGCAAAACAAGCTTCGTCATTCTGAATTTGATTTTGTACATTTCCAACCATTTTTTCTTTAGTCTTCAAAATAGCTGTACATACTTCTCGGCACATGTTAAACCAGTCGGCGACACACTCATTACTTCTTCCTGTTCGATCCATTACCATTTGTGTGGGTAATTCCAATACAAACATAAATCCAAGGTCAACAATTTGACAAAGTGTTAACCCTTTTGCTTTAAGTGTTGACCCTATATCTTTGGCAGCCATCAAATCCAAACTCACCTAAACATCCTTATGCCTTGGTTCAACAATTGGGGAATCAAAATCAATGAAACCAAGTCATCGCATATAACCTTTTCCTTAAGACCACATGACTGTCCGCCGATCATCATGAATAATTCCACTATTCCTCATTGCACGAGTGTCAAATATCTCGGTGTCACGTTTGATAGAAAACTCACTTGGGGTCCTCATCTCAAGGACAAACGAAAACAATTAAATAGTAGACTTCACCTACTTAGACTTTTACTAAGATCTAACACCAACATTCAAAACAAAATCCTTATATACAAATGCCTCCTCCGATCCTATGGACCTACGGCATCGTACTATGGGGCCCAACCAAAAAATCAAATGCAAACACGATCCAAGCATTCCAATCAATTTGTCTACGTATCATTGCCAAAGCTCCATGGTACGTAACGAACAAATTACTCCATGATAACCTCCAAATCAAAACCGTCCACGACACAGCCACCAGCCACCAATTTCTATAAAAGATTTCATGGGCAACTTCTCACGAACCACAACCACCTCATCTCTCAACTGGCCTCAAAAACTCTCCCAGACAACCCCACAAGACGTCTCAAACGCAACTGGTGCAGAGATCTGCTTAACCATTAAAATACATTTATATAAGTCATATTATTTTTTTTTTTAATTCTTTGTAAAAGGTGACTCGACTGCGAGTCTTCCTTCATGTTACTCAAAGTCATTTTATATTATTCTTATATCACATTTACTTATTGTATATAATGTACAGATTGTAAATTTTCAATAAACGCCATAATTTATAAAAAAAAAAAGTGTTAACCCACTGTTGCAACGTTGGTTCAAGTCAGTAAAATGAAAAAAGCTGCAACCAGCTCGTGGTGATCTTGTTGTCTGACAGCTTTTTTTGGACACCGAAAAATCGACATCCACTCTCCATTACGGCATTTCCGTCGTTTTACCTACATTTCTGTGCCACGTTTATTACAAGGGTCGTTGTCTTCGGCACTTTTCAACAATCCTTTTGCTACTAAAAACCGATGACACTCAATCTCATTTGGAACTACTGTAGTATAAAACTCACGAAACATCATCACAGCCATTACAATTTATAAATAATACACAAAATACTAAAAATATATTATATTCGTTACGAACAACCTTTGTGAGCGTTGTGTGACGACTGTAATAAAAGTAAAACCAACAGTAATACAATTTAAGGTACCTAAAGATTATTAGAGATTATCGTTATTATTAACAGTTGAAATACCTAACATATTATATAAAACCGAGGCAGATACGCATATTATTCAGTAATTATTGCAGTCCAATATCCCCTTACCGAACGCAGACCGAGTGTAGAACACAAAAACCGGTAGAGCGCATACCGAATTAGCATCCAACTTTTTTAGAAAATATATCAAATATAATGCACACGAAAATTTATGAAAGACGTATTTCCGATTTTTAAATTCCCAATTGTAGGTATATCTCGGGTTTCTAGATTGATGTGCTACAATTAATCTAAAGCTGTATTATAGAATAATAGGTATGCAACTCCTACAACTTCTGAGCCCTAATTACTAGTTTAGGTTTGGTATATTCGCCATAACACTGTGGCACTGCCCCATGTATAACAGCGTTATATTTTTAGGTAGATAATAGATATTTAAAATACAATTGTATTTAGGGAAGCTTTCTCAATTGGAATTTTATGTTTATATTGATACGCAGCCACATGGGTTCTGCAAAAGCGTTCCCTAATCTATAAAAATAATATTATTCATAGCAGCCACAGCTTAGATCGTATACTAGTATACTAGTGTCTAGTATATGATCTAAGAGCCACAGATATCTATATTATACTAGATAAGGTACTCGCGTTATCGTATGAAGCCTAACTACTAATTTATTCTGTGCTAATAGTAACTTAGATCATATCACGGCTTAGATCATATACAATGTATATGATCTAAGTATCACGGATATAGATACAAGATTTTCAAGAAGAAAAATTCGTATCGATACGAAATGGTTACGTACCACCTCGTATCGGAGTTCGAGTCCGATACGGGTCGGTACGTATCGCTTGTATATTGCACGAGTAACATCTTGAACGCTCAAAATTGACCCGATACGTACCGATACACTCCAAATTCTTTCTTGAAAATCTTGTTACTATGGTTGGTTGCACGTCGGCCTATATTGGATCCAAGGTTAGGTTAGGTTAATTAGTTAATTACTTTTTTTATTTTCTTTTTATTTTCATTATTTCTGGCATAAGCATATTGTCTCATACGCATGGTTATATACATTACAAATATATCAATAAATATTTCAGTTTTATGAAGAGCACATGGAAATGATAAATGCAGGTTTTCTTTTTGAAAAAATTCTTCATATGTGTCTGTAAAAGGATCTGCTTTATCTGAATGTTTCATAAAACACAGTTCTAATGCTTCTAACATTTTAAATAAATTGTGTTGGGGATAAACTAAAAATCCTTTTGTTTTAATATCAACCAAATCAGCTGCCAAATGTGTTGATTTCAAATCTGTTGTCAGACTTTGAATGCACAGTGTACATTTACTTTTTTTTATTATTCTCCAGTCTCCTTGTTATGTACCTGAGTAACAAGACATAATAAATATTATTTTAACAACAATAAGTAATTGATTATTGGACATAACTAGAATATACAACTATAGATAGTAAGTTGAACTAATGATTATACTACCCAGCTAAAAAATAAACGATGCATTCAATATTCAAATACAGAAGAATCTAAAACACTGTAATTGTGTTCTGAAAAAACATCAACAAACGTCCAACAGCCTTCTTCAACAATTCCATCAATCTTCTCTTTCAACTTCTTAATCTTGTTATTTCTTTCAATAGAATTATTTTGGTCATGAATTATACTTTTGATGTCAGCTAAAGAAATGAGCGGGCAATTTTCTTAAAATAGAAAATTCAAGATATTAATTAAACAGATACATTATAATTTAAATTGTACAAAATAGAATATAGGTATGAGGTGCCTTCTAATATGCTACAGTGTCTCTATTTTGGGGGTTTAATTATTGAATAGACTGACAATTCGATATAATTGAAGGAATGTCAGTGTTGACGGATGGTCATTTGGACCTGCAGTTTGCCTAATTATACCAAAAAATTTCTGAAAACGTCCATTGTTATTATTTATATGTTATATAGGTATATAGTATATTTAATGATTTAGATGAGAATAAGTTGAGAACTTGATGCTTATTTTCCACATCAATTTTCATACCTCTAAGCGGTCTTGATTGAATTTATTGCTCAAAACATATGCAAAGCCACAATCATTCAATAGGAAATTAGATAAATTTATTGTAGATTGAATGGTCATTCTTAGACCTTCTGATGTTTGTTTTGTCAGAAAATCATTATCAGTTATTAAATTTTGTTCTAAATTCCTTTCCCAACTATTTAACCAATCCAATGCATCTCTTAGTACCTTAAAAATTAAATTAATTAATCATAACTTATGTTATTTCAATGTTAACTATGTTAACTATTGTTAGGTATTAAAAATGATGTCTTAACACTTCCATTCTATGACAGCCACAGAAGAAGTACAAATATACACACTACATGCAACACTTAAAAAACCTCTAGATCAGGACTATTTGATTTGATGCCTTCAGCAGGAAATTTTTGGTTCAGAGCATCAAAAAGGTTATTCATTTTAATTGTAAACTTAATAGTGTCTTCACATTCAGTAAAACCAGAATAATTTTTGCTGTTATAAAATTTAATTCCGTCTGCCATTGATTTACTAAAAATCTGACAAACACACCTCATTGTAATACGGCTATGAACTACTAAAATTGTATTACCTATGTATAAGTAATATTAACCTGGGCAGCATTTTCACCTTCATCTTTGTAAAATTATCTAAATTAAAATGGGTTTTAGTAAGTTTAGGACACACTTTGAAAGTTGTTTTTGAATCATGCATGAATAAATTTTCATAAATTTGCCATTTAACATAGAAATCTTGGGGATTGACATAAAAATAGAAAATGTATAATTTAGAGTTATTGTATACATATAATATAATATAATTATACATAAATTATAAATAAACATAATACGTCATGTATATTAAATCTTACTTTTAAAGTTTTTTTTTGAGTGTAATCTATTTCTGATGGTTTTAATTAGATGAAGGGCATCAGAAAAAATGAATACTTTTCTATTAGCATCAAAAGAATTTTCAAACGATTTTGAATTTTTTTAATTTTTGCACCAACACCTAATATTTTCCACATTGTCCGATTTGTGGATGCCCCATCACTAGTTATACCAAGAACTTGAACACCCACATTCTCAAGTAAAAGTATTTCTTTAATTATAATTTTTGCCAGATCAACTCCTATTTAAATTACAGTTCATATTTATGCAAATATGTATTACCAATATTATGGGAAATATTTTTTCTTATATTTAATTCTAAATTTACCTTTTACTGATCCCTTGGAGGCAAAAACTGCTATAGGTTGATGTAAGTTTTCTGCCAAACTTTGTATCATTAATACCAACCCATGCTCAGCTTTCTCAGATGTTTTAACATCAAATCCATCTCCAAAATCTTCTAACCCATGATAGCCGATGGGACAGACTTCTGGTATTAACACCCAAACCTTCTCTTAAGAAGATTTCGTCAAACACTAAGATAACTTTTTTCTCATGTTCAGTTTTATTGCTGAATTTTGTTTTTAAGAGTTTGAAAAAATCTTCATCGAACCCACAACCAATTTTAACAGCCAACAAATGCTTTCGAAGTGTATTTATGCATGGTTAAGGTAATATGTTTTGCTTCCTTAGAAATGAATAACCACCTGGAGACCTATATTAGGCAATTATAATAGTTTATTAATAAATTAATAATATTTTAGATAAAGACATAAAATATTAAGTAGATAAATTAAATAAATTGTATACCTTATTTGAAGTAGCATGCGTAATAACATCCAATTTTCATTGTATCTTCGACTCTTAGTCAGTGGTCGAAATGGCTCAAGATAAGTGGAGGGATGCCTTACAATTCAGATTTAGGCCTATACGAAAAATAAAAAGTTTTCTTATGCATAGGTATAAATATAAAAATCATAATAATTATTTCATTTTAAAACACAAGTCTTAGGAGGAATGCGTTATTCTAAACAAAATAAGTAGAGGGATGAAAAATTTCAGACTGCCTAGTGCCTGTTGCCGCCGCAACATATTATTATTACCATTTACTTTACATTTATACACAAGGATTAGGGCGCTCTCACACGCACACACGCACATTACAAACACATCATTATCATCATTATTTATCTGTTATTTTTGTATTTCCAATTTTTGTGTCAGCTGTGAGTTATATAATATGTTAATTAGGCTAAAATTAAGCACGACGCGTTATCGTCCGTCAGGTCGTCGGTTCGTGAGAAGCACGGCTTTAGATAGAATGGTTGCACAACGAGTTATTATTTTGTGATCACCAATTGTTCTTATTAGATATCTGTTAAAAGTTACGTAATTTTATATTGTTGTATATGTATTCAAAAAGTACTAATTAGTAATTTACAAATTTTATGGATAATCCTATAATCCATTAAAGTTTCAAACTCATCAAATTATGAAATGAAAAATACAAAGAATAGGCTATCTGCACAAATTTCTAAATTATCAGAAAAAATAGTTAAATATGAAGATGTATTATATAATTAATATAAAATAATTTTAATTCATACTTCCAGGCAATCTTGATTAATTAGAATCCACAATTATAATTATGTAATTGTATAATCAAATCAATTGTTGATAGTATAGTTACCCTTAGACCTTCAGCTGTATTTGAACTAAGAAACTCATCATCTTTTATAAGTTTTTTGTTTAAATTAGACTCCCATTCATTTAATAATTTTAGTGCATCTAAAGCCGTGGTGAGAAGATACACGGCCGCGCCCGCTCGAAAATACAATCAGTTCAGTACCACGACAATACGTACGACGTCGTTGTCGACATAATAAAATAATAGTTTTTTGGTTTTTTTCATATTGTGAGTGCGCTAAACGCCACGAATATCATTTTATAATTTTGTAATATATTAATTTCAGTGTGCGCTAATCGCCACGGCCCACGGATATTATTTATATTGTATTCTCTTCAGTGTGCGCTAATCGCCAAGGATAATATTATATTTGTATTTTATATTTTTATTGCCATAGTCGTGTGCGCTAATCGCCGCGGCCCGTGAGAAACATATGTGTATTTGTATGTGTTAATTTTTTATATTGTGCCATAATATTATTATTAAGGTACAGGTTGCTGCAGCTGGCCAGTTTTGCACCTACTAAAAATCGTAAGTTTTTGTTTCATTTTATTATTGTTATTTAGTTGTTTGTGCCGGAGCGGCAGTTGTTATTTATTCTATATCTTATATTTTGTTTTTACCTTTTATTTGTGTCACCGTGATTAATTTAAATCACCACACATATTATTAAATATTATTTTTTACTTGTTGGACCAGCAGGGTCAATATTATTAATACATACTTATTAATTATTATTATTATTGTATAGCAAGCCAGAAGGCTGCTAATGCCATTTTTTGGTCGTTTGATTATTTTATAAATATACAAAAGTTACCCGTCATACCATTATAGCCATAAGGGCTTTGATTTATTATTTATATTATATTTTTATACCTACTGCGTTGCTGTGATTTTTTATATATTTGTATCATTATTATTTAGATTTGTATTATACAGCAACTAGTTAGTTACCTACCAGCAGCCATTGTTACCATTTATTATTTACACACAAACACATACACGATACACGCATACACATATAACACACTCACATCATTACGTAGCTCATCAGTATTTGCTCGGCGACCCCGTCCACTGCCGATCGATCTATTTTCATCACTACTCATTTACATAAATCACCGGATCTCCTAATCATATCATAAACACTCAGGCTTTTAGTTATTACATTTTGGTGACCGAGTCCACGACTTACTATTATTCGTACTCGGCCCGTACATTGCCCTTTAGAGATATCTGTAGTTTCCAAAATGTTGTTTAGAGTCAATTGATCGATATCCTTCATCTTATTTTTAATGCTGATCAAATCATTTTCTAATTTATTAATTTTTTTAGTAGCCAATAAATGTTTTTTTTTACAGTTTGTCTTGCATTTTGAATTCTTTGCAAAATTAATCTTTTTTTGGGGGAAAAATGTGTTCTAATATTTTTTTTGCATTTATCCTAGATTTTTTTTTTTTTGCATTGAAAATAATAGACGTGTGCACCAATTACAATTATTACGATCACTAAAAAATAAAATACTACATATTAACACAAAGAAACATTTGATTCAATGATATGCGTTTAGTATTTAATTTACCCATCATCATCTTTGAGTATTTTTGAACAATTTTAGTGCCTCCATAGACCATCAGATTCAATAATATTTTGGCTGAACACGGATATTTTATTCAATAATGCCTTTGAAGGTGTTACTCCGCCACAACACTTAATTTCATCAAAAATATTTAATAAATCCTCTACATCATCTTCAGTTTTTATAGCATTATCACTTAACCCAATTTCTAATAATGCCAATTCTTTTCCATTTACATGTATAATCAATTTAGAATCTAAAATAGAATAGTATGAATTAAGATTAAAATAAAAATTAAGTGTTTGATATATTATAACAGAATTATTACCTTCAGTAATGATGAGTTGTTTTTCTATAGATCTTTTATAATTTTCTTTAAATAAGCTTAATTTATGAAAGGTAAGCACCAAAATATTGGGTGTATACAGAGCTAAACTAGCAAACCAATTATTTGAGATAGTTAATGATAAAATATTTTTTGAAATTTTACTGTATAAGGAATTTGGTGGTGTTATTAGTTCTATCTGTTGAATTACATTTGAGAATGTTAATAATGTTAAATATTGAACAATATATTTTAGTAGGCATAATAAAACTATCACTTTTTGTTTTTTAGCTGGCAAAGGTTCTAGATCACTATTGATGGTCGGGCTGATAGTACTTTCACAGGCAGTTGATATTTGATCGAATTCCACGGTCTGTTTATTTATTAATATAACAATGTTTTATTTAAAAAATATAGTTTATAGAAACTTTAATTTATAATTTAACAAACTTCAATATCGGGCTATATCATAGGATTAATGTTTTTAATGTTCACCGGAAGTGCATCTTTTTTTAGTTGCGATTTTTTTCAAACATATCTAAGGAAACAGTATTATTTAAAAATTATATTAAACAGTATTATTATTTTAACTCAATTGTAAATATACCGCAGTGCTATTTTTTATATATTGAATTTTTTTTATTTAATGTTCCTTCTACTTAAGTTGAACAACTTTACACAATTGTGTTAATAATATTTTAATGTAAATGAAAAATAATAAAAACATTTGATACCGTGTACTTATTTACTCCTTCGCCGCTTGACCACGTACTAACAATATCGGATTGATTAATATGTGTAGCACAAACACGATCACTTTTTTTCAATTGCATACCTAATGATGCTTCCCATAACATTTTTTTAAATTCATCTTTAGGTACACTACAATATGGTTTTAAAATATTATGAGGTTCACGCACACAACAATTTTTTGGCATTTTATTAAATATATAAAATAACTAAACATTATATTATAAATGCAGAATATAAGTATTCAATACACAGAATATCAGTGAATACCTATGCAACACAGTAGACAGTAATTATGTAATGAATAATGAAATTAATTATTAAATGAATGATATTGATACACATTTTCTAAATATAACTTAGATTTACAAACATTTTTATAATTTATATAATAGCGGGTTTATGATATACCAGGTCATAGAGAGCGCTAATATCACGCGATTTTTTTTAAATTCTTGATAAGAACATTCAGAGCCGTCATATCATTCCGTGCTCGTTGTGCAACCCTAGTATCTATATCCGTAATATGTTCTAAGAATAGTAATAATCCGTTATCACCAATTTTGTGGTTGGCAAAACATTGAATAAGTATTATTTTTTTTTTTTTATTTAGAAAATTTACTATCTATATACAATTTATATAATAAGTAAATATGATGAACAATATTACAGGACATGAAAATCATGAGGGAAGGGAGTGTCCAGTTACACTACTTCCAATTTAAACTTAGGGGGAAGGTAACTTTAATAAGTAGCACTAGGCATAGGTTAGGTTAGGTTAATTAATTTATTATTAATTTTTTTTTTATTTATTTATTTTTTTTTTTTTTAGGTTAGTTAATCACTCGGCCATTTGCGTTTGAGGCGACGATAAGGGGTTATCAGGAATTGTACAAGAAGAAAGTTTGGTAGGATGAGTCGTTAGGGTTACCAATATTTAAATAAAAAGAAAACGTATTGAATTACGGGTTGAAATATAATTGGTTTTAATATGACAGGTAAAACAATAACTTTTTATTTACAGGGATTTTGAATTTAACAATTACAACTAGAAAAATAAATCACGTGGTTTTATACAATATTGTCGGGCGTTCGGTTTTTTTTACATTACGGGACGTTGACGACGACGTACGTACGACTAGTCACTAGTGGGAGTCGGGAGAGTTCGTCGGTGGGCAGTAGTCGCGTCATGGAGGCAGTGTTAAATTGAGCGGAGGGGCGTGCTGATACCGCGGTTGTTGTTGTGGGCCACCACAAAAGTTTAGATATGAGTGGGTTTGCATGGTTAAAGGTATTTTTATGAAATTTGTTATAATGATAAGAGGCAAGTGTGGATATTGATGGTATGTTGAGATCATTATGTAGGGTGCGGTTGCTGACGTACCAGGGAGCATTAGAGACTAGAGAGGACACGCAGAGATATTGATTGGAACGCTTGGAATTTGTTTAGGTTTGAGTTTTTAGTGGTACCCCACAGTTGAATTCCGTAAGTCATAGCTGGACTTAATATTTGTTTATATATTAGTGTTTTATTATTTAAAGAGATTTTAGATCGAAGAAGTGGTCTTAATTTGTGAAGTCTGAGATTAAGTGAAGTTCTTTTAGCTTTGATGTGATTAGCCCAAGTTAGTCTTTTGTCGAGAAGGAGTCCTAGGTATTTAACGGAATCGACAATGGGAATTATTTGGTTATTTATGTAAACTGGAGGAATTGTTGTAGGCCTGAGGGTAAAAGTGATGTGAATGGATTTATTTTCATTAATTTTAATTTTCTATAAGCTGAACCAATCTTGTAGTTGGGTTAGGTGGTCTTGGAGGTTGTTTGTAGTGGTGGCTATTTCGGAGTTGGTTGATATTATGGCTGTGTCATCGGCGAAGGTAGCTAGAGTAGTGTTAATAGATTGTGGTAGATCTGCTGTATATATATTATAGAGAGTCGGGGAAAGAATACTGCCTTGAGGGACGCCTGCTTTAATAGGATGTGGGTCAGAAGTTTCGTCTTCACATCTTACTGAAAAAGTACGGTTTGATAGGAAAGATTTGAGTAAGAGGAATAACGTAGTGGGTAAAAATAATTATTTGAACAGTAGCCCTTCAAACCAGACCCGATCAAACGCCGCCTGAGCAACATCAAGAAAAACCCCAGAACAAAAATTTTTTTGTTCAAGAGATGAGGCAATAGTGTCAACTAGTCTGTGATTTTACTTTTTCATACATACTTAATCACAAATGCCATCAAATACTTAGTACCATACTAACATAGTAACATCAACATCTATAGTCTATACACAACGGATTAAAAATTTGAAGTCACAGCCTCGCAGGTCTATAAGTTATGTAAAAAAAGTAACGAATTTATGTAATTATTATGCTAGTTCCTGTAGAGAATTCGAATATTTTGCCAAACGGAAGAGGTTTGAGTTTGGGTTAAGAACAAAATATTAACTATATATAAATTTAAGTATTTATTACAAATAACTGTAACAATAAAACATGTAATTTGAAACTTGTCGATTTAATAGTAAAATAATAAACCGGAGAGTGGGGGTGAGGTGACCGAGTGGTCTGACGCGTCCGCTGCGACGCAGCCGGTGGCGGTTCGATCCTCGGCTACCGGGCGGCATTTTTCTCCGGACAAGTCGCGGTGACCGGAGAACAAGTGCTGCCATCCCCCACCCCCGGGGCATGGCAGAAACCTACGGGTGCCCCATTCGAAATTCTGCCAAAAACAAACACACACGTGTTCCCCCCTACCGTCCCAAAATATACAATACAAACAAACCTACAATACAAATCCTACTACAGCTAATGGCCTCAGTTGCCGAAGCTTAAGATCAATAAAAAAAAAAATAAATAAATAAACCGGAGAGCTGTGTGTGTAACGTTTCCCTAGAGGCTCTTGATAAGCATGGGTGTAACGTTTGTGTATGAACTAACTCTACCTGCTTCTCTCATAACTACTCATATTTATATGAGACATGCAGTGATTAAGGAAAGGATGATTTACGTCATAAGACTGGCGTGATGTGCCTAAACTCGGCCTTAGCAAATCGGATGGCAGCATCAATATGCTTATTCAGTGGCGTGATGTTGCTCTAATCGACTGTACTTTGGAACAACGTTTTTATGTAAGCATATGCCTGTTTATTTAGCCATGCGGGAGGATAATATTTTTTTTACCCCCACAAAAATCCACAAAAAAATATTTCTTTGAACGACTTTGAGTATTTTATATTATTATCGTGTGTTTTAGAGTTGCAGGTATACACGCCTTGCTATTGTACAATTCTCTAAGAAAAATCACAAGGTTTATGTGTCGAAATGACTGACATAACATATTCAATTGTGGACGAAGAAATTTCATTTATTCAGACCAAAGGATGCATAAAAACTAACGATGTCGTGTTACCATTCCATTACAAGAAGTTGGAAAAATGTATAGAAGACATGGAAATCAGAGACGACGACATTTGGGTCTGCGGCTTCATGAAAACAGGTTTCAATTAATTTAGCTATATTATATAGAACTTATATTAACTTATAAACGAATAATATTCAACGATAATGTAACACGAAATACTCCGAGTGCATGACTTTGGATTTCATTTATGTTTTTTTTACTATATAAAGGTACACTTTTTCTTACACTAACTTTTTAATTAACCATCCTATAGACTACAGAGTATACAGTATACACTATAGCCTATAGGGCTATAAGTTCATTACCGTAGATAGGAATTTTATATAAGAGTGGTTTATCATAATAACAATTAACAACATATTATATAATTAATTAATATAATAAATACATTGAACCCCCTCCCCCTCCCCTTCCAAGAGATAGAAATCCATTGAAAATATTGGATGGGACGGCTATACTATTTTTCAAATGAACCTAAATCGTGGGGGCTTTGCTCCTTCACAATAACTCTTGGACTTTTGGAGGAGGCTTGACAGACTTTTTTTTTGGAGTGGACTATTCTTCTTACTTCTACACATATATTTATTATTTTGTCCCTAAACTGTCCCTCAACAAAATAGATTATTTATGCGTATGATAATAAGTATACAATTATGTATGAAGGCTATTTTGATAAAAATATAATTGGGACGAATAAGTTATCGAACAGTTTTTCTTCAGTTTCATTATGGGCTGGTAGAACTTTTGTCTTTTGCCTCACCTCACAAACATAATCATCCCTGTAATATTTGAATACATTTAGTTACAAATAAAATATTCAAAATGAGTATACCTTATAATATCCAAAAAACTTAAAAATACACTTCATATGTGATAAAAAGTATTGTTTTTCACAAATTGTGATTTTATACTTACCTAAACGTAATGGGGTATTATAATAGGTAATACGTAAACCAACATCCCATTACATTTATTAACATTATTAAAATGTATAAACTATTATATTATTATTAGTCATATGTACAATCCTTTTAATTATTAAAGTCTCAAATGGAATAAAAAAATTATAAATACCTACTCCTATACCGAGGTGATGATTGATAAACGAATCAATACTAATATAATACAGAACTTATTAGATCCTTCAATTTATTATCGCCATATTTCTTTTTTTGTGACTCGACAAGCAAGTTGCAAATGGGTTGAACGTAAAAAAATTGAAACATCATTTATTGTGTTCCAGGAACTACATGGTGCCAGGAGATGACGTGGTGTATTGCAAACGATTTGGACTTCGATGGTGCCAAAATAAATCAGAACGAAAGATTTTTTTTCTTAGAGTAATTATTACTATATATAAGCGATATACCTATCACTATACTCTGTCCGTCAAAAGTGCGCAATTCTGGAACTGTGGAATATCTAATTTCTCGCACTAAGAGATTGCCACTTAACGCGACTTGTTTTGCCGTTTTGGTAGCAGCGTACATGGCTGCACTCTCTCACTGTACAGAGTATATAGAAGTACATAGGTATATGATGGTTATATTTTATCGACTGACCATGTTGTTTTGATTATAGATGGAGTTCATTTCGTGACTATGAAAAAGTTATACAGGATAATCCTGGCATAGAAATACCGAGGTATATGTCTGATTCGGTAGAGTTAATAAACGGATTGAAATCTCCAAGATTTATCAAGACTCATCTACCTTACAAGCTACTGCCAAAAAAACTTAGGAATCAATCTACCAAGGCTAAAGTATGACCCATTTGCGTAGTATTTATTTTATAGGTACCTATAATAGATATAACATTATTATGGAGATAGTTTTTTCTCACGACTGGTTAATCCAACATTCTAGTAATGCTATATTACGATGTTATAAGCAATAAGCATATATAACTATATGTCTATATAAGTAACTAACTTACATACATTTTTTTACCGTGTTAGAACTGACATATCTCATTTTTATATTTGTGTGACGTGTTAAAAATATGTAGACATCTCATACGTAGGAATTAAATGCCTATGTAGGTATATGTAATTTTTTTATGCGCTACTCTCGTGTAGGAACTCACGATTCCCCGGTAATAAGTGGTTACATCATTGGAGTGTTAACCATGTTCTTGTCTTTTTCAGTCTAGATACTCCTGAACAAAACTACCGACACTTATATTCTTACAAAATATCTAACAGCACCAGTTCCAATATATTTTGTTTCATGGAGATTGGAGATTTTGAACAGTATTCAAACATTAAATTATATATAATTTTGCAATAGTATTACAAGGAAACTTACCAGCGATAACTTACGCCCTGAGCTTGTAAAATTGAAAAGGAAAATGTGCTTAATTAAACGGGTACCAATTCGGCTTACTTTAATAAAATACCTTTTTCAATCGGGAACCAATTCGGCATGTGGGGTGGGGCTCAGGAATCGATTCGATACCAGCCCAATAACCTATCTGGTATTTACAGGAGTTAAAGTGGGGGATTCAATTTCCCTACCTCTTGTTGTACTTATAAGGAGGAGAGCCCTTAATTAAAATTATTCCTTACATCCAATTTTAACTTATATTTTACTAAAATACTATAATATACATTTTCAGATCATCTATACGGCCAGAAATGCAAAAGATGTTTGCCTTTCATATTTCCATCAATTAACCTTGCTTGGTTAATATAAAGACAATTTTGAAGAATTTTGTAATCTGTTTGTCTCCGGTTCCGGTAAGTACCTATTTTTGTAATAAAAAATAAAATAAAAATCATATACCTACACTTTAAGAACTTGGACAATGAAGTCTGTTTCAGTCCGTTTTTTGACCATATTCTTGGCTACTGGGACCGAAGATATGATCCACAAGTACTATTCTTGAAGTATGAAGACATGAAAAAGGTTATCGATCAATGCTTGTTATGATTTGCTCATATATATGTACTATATCCCTTTTTAATAACATTTTAAATTTATTTTGATAGGACCTACGTTTGGTAATTAGACGGACAGCTCAATTTTTGGGAAAATATATGGTTGACGATCAGCTGTCGATTTTGGAAGACCATTTAAGTTTTGAAAGCATGCAGAAGAATAGAGCTGTCAATTGCGAACCATTAATTGAGTTAATTGGCAAAATGTCGCATTTGCCGATGGGCGAAGGGAATTTTGTAAGAAGTGGCAAGGTCGGAGAAGGCAAAACAAAAATGACACCAGAGCTTGTAAGAATTTTTGATGAATGGGAAGAGAAGTGTTTGGAAAAAAGTGGATTAAAGTTTTTATGAAATTAATTGAGTTGTAATTATAAGTAGTTGGTATAGGTACCTACCTATAAATATAAAAAATAGTAAATACATGCGAGGTACATGTAAATAAAGTAGATAAGTTTCGTTCGTCAATAAAAATAAGTAAAATTCTAAAATGTATATTTAAATAAAATTATGTCGTCGGGAAAGTACAAAACCAATTTAACTATGTATTTATTACCCTTATTTTATTTTTGAGAGTGGAAATGTTCCATGCATTCTGGGCATACAGGCTCGTTGCATTTTTTACATTTATAGCGAGTACGACTTCTACACTGATCATCATGGCACCTTTGAGTGCTCTTCATCTCATATTTTTTTGGCCAATGATTTTGTCCTCTGGTTTTTTTTTTTAGTAGAACTGGAGAGGGCGAGGCACATGGTGAATTCGAAGGTCGTCTTCTTTTTTTAAGACGATCAGATGTAGAATTTAACTGTGTCAAACTAGTTGCTATTGAAGCTTTAAAACGTAACAGTGATAAAGTGGGGTTTTGATTTTGTCTATATAAAATTCATGAGTTCACAATCGCAATATTCAAAAACTGAAAAAATATCCGAAGATACCATTTTTTGTTTTTGAAGCCGTGAGGATAGTTTTTTAAACGCCGCGCCATTCTAAAGAAATAAATATAATAAGAAAAAAACAAATTCCATGGCAACTACGCAAAACATAATTATTAAAACATTCCGAACCGACCGAACCTGCACAGTGGCACATACGATGCCGGCTGAATAATACAATATTGTAGCAATACAAACGTTTATTTCTTATAAACTTAAAATTATTCCTGTTAAATAGTTTTTAATAATTAAAATAAAAAATGTTTGGACCACTTATCTATTAAATTACCAGAGTTATAATATTTCTAAAATACAAAATAATGATAATACGGAACGTTCTAGTATCAATACACGGTCTTAGAAGATAAGGTCCGACTACTAAATAGTACCTTAGGGCTTAGGCTTAGATCATAATATTATACACGTCTGGATAGAGCCACGGACTAAGATATACAGGACTGGAATCGTCATGGCCGGGGGGTAGTAGAAGGCCGGTCCTCAAATGTTTCTAATGGTACAGGTGTGGTTACTAGCGCATTCTAGTAGCGTATATTGGCAACGTACTAAAATAATTATTTTTGAAATAATAATATATTAATATAATGATTGAAATTGTATTTATGAAACCTAATCTTAGTGGTTACTGGCTATTATATTTTGTAGACATATCATCAGACTTAAGTGACTGTCGTAACGTTGGTTTGTGGATCATCTGTTATCTGTATATCTTAGTCCGTGTCAGTCATAGATAATAAAGATATGGATAGGACATATTGGTCTTATCAGCGGTCTTCGAGGGGAACAATTGAGGCCAAATAAAGTATACCTATATTGAGTATCGACTATCAATATAAAGGAGCCTCAATTGCCTTCCCCTCCGGGAACGCGGCCTCAAATGTATTTAACATAGGCGTGGCCTATCCATATCTTTATTATCTATGGTGTCAGTACCTAATCATCCTTATCACTATAACACATTCTTGTTCCTTCCCCGTCCTGCGCAATCTATTTCATTTCTCACGCATGCGGAATAAGTACTTCGGGCATGCCAGCCGCCAGGTCTGCTTCAAACACGGACTACGCGTGATGTACGCTATAATAGCTGCTCTATCCAGAGTGTATGATCTAAGACTACCATGAAGATTAGAGATTATCTAGAGATTATCTCTAATCTTCATGACTAGTACTTATCAGTTGTTCACGTCTTGCTGAAGCAGATTTAGCTCAATTGTTACCACGGATTAATATACTAATATATTAATCCGTGATTGTTACTCACGAGCGCTGCAGGTTATACTTATTGAGGTTATGAAATATGAATTTAATCCCGCCAAAAATCTAAAATCAACTATTGAACTTGGTCCTTAAAAAATAATTTTAATATATTTGTTTCTATTTACCATGTAATTAACAATTCTACACATTATTTTATTTCAACCAGTTTTTAGTCGCTAAACAATAAATTATGCCCAACAATATTTGTGTATTTGGTTGTAATACCAACAAAAAGCTTTCGGTGTTTTCCGTTCCTAAAGGCGAACTTTTAAAAAACTAATGGTTGAAATCCCTCGAGGTTAAACATTTATATAATAATAATGTTGTCTGTGTAGAACATTTTCGTACAGACCAAATACAAAAAAAAAGGATATATTTGATAAAGTGGGAAATATTATATGCTCAGTAAGTTATAGTTGATATGTAGACTATATATAGTATTTAGAAAGTATGCCTCACAAGTTATGAAAAATGATTGTTTAGGTCCCTATGTTACGTCCTTGATTATTACCTAATGCAGTTCCTTTTAAGTTCTCTGCAAGAAAAAAATTAAAATTTGATGAAAACACTGAAAAAAAGTAAATTAATTTATAAAAATGTAATTACATATATTTATAATTAAGTATTACATTTTAATATTTACTAATTATTAGACAGAGGAATTATTGATGGACTCTTGTAATAGCAAAGTTGCAGAAACCAGTGTCCCTATATTTTCTGATATAGTAATTATAAATTAATAACTACATTTATTATTAAAATTTTATATTTTGTTTAAATTACCTAAACATTACATTTTAAGGATTACCAATGTGATCCTGATAAAAATATAGTGGATATAATGTTAGATCACAATTATTCTGCTATGCCTAATGTTAATTTACAATTAGATGATTGCGTTACAAAGTACATTGTGAATAAGATTATGATATGCCAAGAAGTAAGAAATTTAAAACATTGATAGAATCAAAATAATATATTTGTATATAAATAATTACTTTCTTAAGTTTAAAATTTGAAATTAAATTTATTTATAGAATATGTCAACAGCTATAAAAAAGCAAAGGAATACAATTTCATTTAATGAATTGAATACTTTGGACTTGCATTTACCCCCTAACTGCCACAAATATGTTTCTTATGAAAAAAGTACTTTGGCATATCTGAAATTATTTTTGTAGAAAAAGAAGGCAAGTTAAATTCTTTTTTAAGGAAAAGTATAATTATAAGCTAAAGTTCAAAAATTACTTGCAATATTTTGGGAAAAAATGTATGCAACGATAAATTAGTAAATGCAGATATAAATCTTGAAAGTATAGATCAGTTAAATAGTTTTATTAAAGAAGTGGCTTTATTCAAAATTTGTAAAGAATTGGATTTAATAAGCCCTAAAAAGTAACAAATAAAATAGTTAAGAATAATAACAATAAAATAATTTCAAAATTTTTTTCACTTTTATAGATATGAATCATTTTTTTCTATTTCTGAAAATATTGTAATCGATACCATGCAAATGAAACGACACAAGGAATGTTTGTTCTTAATTTCAAATAATTTACATTGTTCATACTGTGCAAGAAGCCAAGAACTATACGAAATGTAAAGCAAAAACAAATTCGATCTACCTTACTATCATCTCCTAAACGAATTTTGGTATAAACTACACCAAAAAGTAGAAAAAAATTGGTAATTTTACAAAATAGAAATAATGTTCTTAGAAGACAAAAGAATCGTTTTGAAAAACAAGTTAATTCATTAAAAAAAGATTTACTTAACCTTCAATCTAAGTATTCTAATATTTCTCAAAAAACTATTGAAGAGAAACTGGTTGAAATTAACTGTCCTGTAAATCAAAAAACAATTGTTCAAGAAATATTTGCAGCAGCTAAATTAACATGTTAATTTAAAATATCATCAGAATATTATAATTTTATTTTTTTTTTGTTTTTTAAACTAGGTTAATAACTCTAAAGGTAGACGGTATTCTGATGAATGGTTAATACTTTGTATGTTGTTTCATATATGATCCCCAAGTGGTTACAATTTTTGCTTGAAGAACAATATAATGCCATTGCCTAATGTTAGTACTATAAGGCGTTATCTCTCTCTAATAGATACATCTTGTGGATTTGATAGACAATTTGTTGCTTTATTTAAAAAACACCTAGAAAAAAAATCCACAATACAAAAGCATGGTATTATTCTTGTAGATGAGATATAAGTAAGAGAAGCATTAACTGTATGCTCCAAAAGTCTTACTTATAAAGGGCTAGTAGATTTTGGTGAAGTTTGTAAAGCAAGTGATATAAATGAAAAGGCAACAAGTTGCTTAGTATTTATGTTCCAGCCACTTCTTCTCAACCTGTAGCCGTATTTGCATCTAGAGGACCTGTAGTCGGCACAGAGTTAGCAAAACTTATGTTGAAATGTGTAATTCTTTTAGAGCAAGCAGGTGCCATTATACATGAATTTGTCTCTGATGGAGCTCAGACCAACAGAAAAATGTGGTCTGAGCTTGGAATAAGTGGCCAAGTTAATTCCTTTAAAAATTGGTTTCAACACCTTCTTCATGAAAATCGGAAAATATATGCATTTTCTGATACACCTCATCTATTTAAGAATGTGAGAAATAAATTATACAATGATAAAATATTGAAGGTAAGTTTGTATTATCTAATTACATACTGAAACTCGTTTTTTGTCTAGTATTAACAACTAGTCTAACATTTATTCATTTAAAATATTATTTTTGTCGTTCATACCAGCTGATGAAAGCCGGTAAAAGAATTTCTATGAAATAAAAAAAAAAATTATAAATCCCAATAAATTTTAGTCAATGTCAAGCACTGTGAAATTCGTATTTATTATTCTACATAGATTTGCATGTATTTGTTCATCGGTGTTATATAACTCAATAAAGAAAATAGCAATGTCTAACTTTGTATGTAATTATTTTAAATATTTATTTAATTAATTAATATTAATGTGTTCATTTGTTAAATTTGCATGATCAATGGGACCTATATTTTGTACCAAGGTATGTATTTTAGATAATAAACATAAAAAAATGAAATTAATTATTTCTACTAACCTTTCTTTATGTAAATTAATGGTCAGTATATTCGTTGGAATCACATTAATATTTTATACGAGCAAGATAGCAAATTACCAAGAATTTTAAGAGTTTGTTCAAAATTATCCAGAAACCATTTACATCTTAGTTTATCTGATAAAATGAGAGTACGGCTCGCTACTCAAGTACCTTTACATTTTTTTTTAAATTCATCTATATAAAAAATAATAACTAATACTTAATAGGTACTTAAATATTTAATAAATATACAATACTCATAGATTTTTGGTTTATCTTTATACATAATTCAGGTATTGGGTAATTCTGTTGCTAATGGCTTAATGTTTTATAAGAAATATGATATTCCTGGCTTAAATGATTGTGATCCAACATCTGAATTTTGTCAGAAGTTGAACGATTGTTTTGACACACTAAATAGAAAATTTGGTGCTGAGGGATTAAGAGTTAACGGCAAAGATTATCAGGTAAAAATTAATATTTTATTATGTTCATACAAAAATTAAATTAACTTACATTTGCATACCAAAATAATTAAATTTAAAATTTACAGTTTCTTCAATCGTTTTTGGTTTGGTTGAACGAATGGCAAAGATAATTGTATGGCAAAGTAAAAAAATCAGAATTTTTATCTGATAGCACTGCTTATGGGTTAAGAATTACAATTCAATCTACTCTTGATCTTTCTAGTTATTTAAAATCATGCTAGAACTTTAAGTATCTATTAACAGGGAAAATTAATCAAGACAAACTTGAAGTAAGTAGTAAGAAAGAAGTTATAATAAATAATAATCATTAATATTAAATACAAACTATGTATTCCTTAGATGTTTTTTGGAACAATTTGGCAAGCTGTTGGCCAAAATGATCATCCTTCAACTCCTAATTTTCTTCAATTGTATAAACTACTATCTACTTACAGCATTTTAAAGCCTCCCAAGAGTGGAAACTGTACTGTACATGATGATTCTCCATTAAAACCAATTATATCTATGAAAGATTTGAAAGATATTTATCAACCTCAAAAATATAACTTAGTAGAAAATTTAAAAATTAAATTAAATGATATTATTGAAGAAAAAGAATGGGAATTCAATGATGTTGTTGAACATGATTATACTAAACCAGAAATTATAGATTTGTTTAATTTATTATTTAACAGGTCATATTTTATTCATATTAACAATTTTAATTGATTCACAAAATAAAGTTTTAAAATTATTTCAGGTTACCTGTCAAAACAACTGTTGAAGTATATAAATGATTGTACAATTTGTAAGTCAGCTTTTACCACTCCAGTGGTTTATTCTCAGCAATTGTCTGCAACACTGGTTAACATGAAAACCAAGGGGCGATTAATTCATCCAAACATATTTTTTTTCAACTTTATATAAAAAATTGAAAAAAGTTGTATGAAACATTGTTCATCAACTCACGTTTTGGATCTTATAATTGATGATATGATAAATGAAAAGCATATAACTAATTTCCCCTGTGTCACTCACGGAGAAATGCATATTTATGCATATTTCATATTTTTCTAAAAAAATTCATTTTTTTTCTTTCTTAACCTGTATATTTCAACGAATACTGAATATAAAACTTCAAATGACCAACGAAGGTATATATTGTCATCGCCATAGTCAATTTTATAAATATGCTCCGATGACTTCAACTGATGTTGAAAGATCGTTTTCTCGATATAAAAATCTTCTATCGAATAATCGTCGTTCATTTGAAATAGAAAATCTTAAGAAAATATTGGTGGTTCAATGCAATTCCTTAACAGGTACTAGAAAACATGTATTTTTTTTCGCAATTTAAAAAATACTGAAAAAATATTATTAATTTTATTTTCAGCTCAATAAGATGTCAAAACGCCAACTAGTTATACTTTTTTTTTAGTTATAAATAATTTTTATGTATATGATTAATTTGTAAATAATATCTAATGTATTTAATTTTTGGAATTCAAAATAATATTTTAGCATATTTAACATTTTTAATGCATAATTTGCAATTTTTTTCGTGCATATTTTATCTTTTTTAGCTCCTACAACTTCCGAGCCCTAATAATAATAAACCAATATACCTATTGGCTATAATATTATTATGTTATTACTGAATACTGACTTTATAGTTATTTAAAATAGGAGGTGCACAAAAATACACTTATTAATTATTTACATCGCCCTGCAGTGCCCAATGCCCACTTATATAAATATAAATTCATGTGTACCTAATACCTATTATATACCTACCATTTTATTATAAATAATATAAATTACTTCATAATACATAATATAACATAAACTATGTATAAATATCTATAAATTCTGAAGTGAATAAACTATACTTATACATAGGCAATAATATAATTGTGTCTACCTGAGATCATTGTTGTTATTGTTTAAAATTCAACCATGCAGCAAGTTAACTTCATTGAACTGAAACCTTTATTGGGAAATGTCCACATATAATATTGTACGTTATGTTTGTAACTATGAACACAACAGTAACACACCCAATACCTAACCTACATTCATGCAATTCATATTTCATATCTACTCAAAAGTTCTACTATTCAGCTGGAGTTTCGTTTAGTATGTATTAGTTTAGAATTTTAAATTTGTTTTCTTTATACGTTTCCGATTGCATAAAAAATGGTAGTTAACTACCTGGCTGCAACAAATTGTACCGAAATTTGTATATTATTAGTATTTTTCAACGAAATAGGTACTCTTTTGGTAGTTGGATAGTTTAAGTGACTAATTGTAGTTTTTTTGTTTTTTTTAAGAAATATATCATATTGTTATTAGTTACCTAACGATTATATTAATTACCCATGACCAAGCCGAAATTATTGCTACCTATATATAACTCACCTACTTCATATTTGAGATATTATGCATTTTAATTTATGACTTTTATTTTGTCAAAACGTTTATTTATAGTTATATAGTTATATGGACGTTAGTTAGTTGTATCAATAATATTTTCTTTAAGTAAGTAATATACTTATATCGTGATATATATTCTATATACTTAGTATATGGTATATCTTAGTTCATGGTCCTTACTTATAACATATTTTGGGTCTAATTTAATAGTCAATGATTTCAAATTATAGTTAATTAATTTTTTTTTTGTATTTTATGATTTTGAACGCAACGCACAAATACAATCTCCTTGATATTATTCAGTGTGAGCGATAAGACAATATTTTTTTGTCTTCTATCAAAATGTAAGCATGTAAAGAAAACTTTATATTTATTATTTTGGGATAGTATTATCTTTATCAGAGACTAGAGTTCATTGTTCTCATCAAAGTTCAACTCATCAATACTATTTAATTAGATTAGATTAGAAAAGGCAATACATTTGATTATTGGAGCTTAGAAGTTAAGTAATGGATAATTCAATTTCAATAATATAATACGTCGTTATCCCGGCCCACAACACCCGAAATGATTACGGTACGTTTGACCCTGATTTCTAAATCTCTACGCAATTAATTAATATTATTCTCTAGGTCAATGCCATGAAAGTTGTTTTGATTCTGAAATAGTTATATATTGTATCATTTTGTTTACCCATGCCCTATTGATGCAGGCGTTGGTTAATTTTTTTTATAAATGATGCCTTGGTGTTGTTTGTCTTGATTTCTCAAATTACATTATTTATTGTGTTTAGCAATCATGAGTGGAGCATTGTACTATGACAAAATCTTAACAATATTTGCAATTTGCCAAAACTGATATCATGGAACTTAAAGTTTGGGTTGAAGGAATTCAGCGGGTTGTGTGTGGTGTTACTGAATCAACAACTTGTCAAGTAAGTTGTTTGTGAAATTTTGATGGAATATTTTGTTATTACATTTTTGTCTCAGGATGTTGTGTATGCATTAGCTCATGCTACCGGAAAGACTGGCCGATTTACTCTGATTGAACGATGGCGTAATAATGAACGTCTACTTGCACCTCAAGACCATCCAGTAACAGTAGGTGTTCAATTTTTTTTATAAAAATATAATATTCTACAAATTGTTATCTAATGTGTTTGATTCATTGTTAGGTGCTTATGAAATGGGGAGAATATGCCAATGATGTACAGTTTATATTACAACGCTCGGGCAATGTCTCTTCAAATAGTACATCCAACAATCCAAAGTATAATGAGGCTGATAGTGTTCCTTACTTTGCTCAGGAGAGGAATAAAGACACTCGGAAATCATTAATATTTAATAGTATGGATTTTATTCAATAATTAATGAACAGTAATGTTATTCATAAAATCTGAAAGATTTTTAAATATTTTGCTCCAACCTTTTATTTTTTTTCTATAGTTGCTGTGTATGTGATACGTATCATTTTGTAATTTATATTTTTATACTCCGTTAATTTAAATGTATTCAATATTAGGTGTGATAAGTTTTTTGATACTTTTAGCCACCTAATAAACCTTCTTATAATATATTACCTACTTTTTAGAGGGAGGGAAGCTACTGCTTTTATTTCCAAAGTAAAGTAATAATACATTAAACAATTTTAAAACATCAATGCAATTAAAAGATAGATTTTTATTTAATTATGTTTTATTATATCTGCTACTATTGTCTTAATAAATATTGATTAGGTACAACTAAAGATTGTCCTAATAAACTTACCCGTTTATCATACATAAATAAATAAATAAATATCTATTAAATGTTAAAATCAATTTTTTCTAGAATTGAACCTTTGAAAGGCTTTGATTTTTCGTCTGTAAATTTGTTCTAGACTACTAACCAATTTTTTATAAATAATTATACATTTTTAGTAACTAGAATAATTTTGATTCTTGAATCTATGATGAATATATTTTTAAGGTAATCGGGTACCCGATAATGTAGGTGTTGTACGTGGAATTCCTCAACAGAGACCAAATGTTCTTCCTACCATACCTGGAAGTGGTGCAGCACCGTTAACAGTAGTTTCATCAACTCCGTCTGGTGTTCCTTTATCAACTTCACCTACAAATACTTCTAGTCATTTAAACAAAGTAATTTTATTATTTTTCTTTCAAATTTTATTAGCTAATATAAATTATTGCTAAAGGATCAGAATTCAACATCAACAAATGGACCATTGCAAAACTCTACAAGTCCAAACAAAAAACTTGATAACCTTAGCTATCGGCCTCCTGTTACTAGGGCACTACCACCATATCGCGAACCTCCTCCACCTTCTGTTAGCCCAGCAAGAATATCTCCCACAACTGTGGGTAGTGATCGTTTAAAACAGACAATATTCAAGGTAATTCACTACATAATTATGTACTTTTTTGATTTTATTATATTTTTTTTTATATTTTGATAATTCTTTGTAGGAGTATCAGAATGAAAATAATAGCAATAGCACTAATGTCATGTATAACCCTCAGTATAAAGATCTCGTAAGGCTTATAAATTATCAAAGAGATAAGTTATCCATTCAACAAGCAGAACTAACAAAGTATGACGCAGAAATAATGTATTGGGAAGGTAAAACTAGAGAGCAACAACATCAGATGGATTTTATGACTCAGGAAGCCGCAAGAATTGAAGCCACTGGTAGACATACAGAAGAACAGGTACGGCTTATATTAAATTAAAACTGATTCATAATATAACATGAGTTAAACATTTATTTATTTTTCCATGTAATAGTTGAGGCTTTTAGGCCAAGTTGAAGAAGAAAATGATATAGTACGTCAGCAAGAAAAAACATTAAAATCAGAAATGACATTATTACGATCAAAATTGGCCAACTGTGAAACTGAGTTACTTGTGTGTAAGAACAAAATACGGCTTTTAATGGAAGAAGTGGAACTGGAACAAAAAATGTTATCAAGAGATCTAGAAGAGAAACGTAGAGCAGAAAGGGGTATTTTAAAGGAAGTTGACCGGCTACAAAGTGAAGTAGAAAGAGCCAAGCAAGAAACAGAAATGGCTGCACAAGTTGGAGATAGTCTACGAAAAGAAGTAATTATAAACATATTTCATGTGCATATTGAATGGTGAAATAATTAAAATATTTTTCCTTTAAGGTTGCTATGTTGGAATCAACTATCACTGAAAAAAAAAGGCAAGTTGATAAACTGGTAGCTGACATGAAAGAAGCAAATTTGCAATCTTTAGCTATTTCACCGCCAGATGAATTGAAATTTATTCTTGAAGGTAAATCTAAATACTAAAAATATTAATTTAGTATTTATATCAATAGTAAAATTACATATTATAATTATATTTAAAACTATGTTCATATGTTTAGGAGCTCCAAGACCTGGAAGTACTCGTAAAATGATTGGGTCACCTAGACAACTTGAAAATGCAGCCCCTACTAGTAAGAACCCTCATGGTGTTTGGGTATAACTTTTTTGTTACCTAATCAAAATTGTTTGCTCTAAAATCTATTTAAATTATTGTTTTTAAGTAATGTGTGCATTAAAATTTAAGAGCAATGTTTAAATTGTAAATCATGCGTTTGAATACCAATAAGGTTTATTAATAGTAATAATTGCACATCACACAATTTTTGTTTTCTTTTTTCTTTTACCAAACCAAAAATATAATACTGAAAGTGTAAGTTAATTTATAGAGCTGGGCTGATAACACTTTTTTCCGATATCCAATATCCTGATTTATAACGGATCCATGATCTGATATAAATTATGTGACACATCAAATGCATCTTGAATTACTGTAAGGGCAATTGCTAATTAACTATTATGTAAATTGAATAATTAATTAAATAATGATTTCTATAGTATATTTAAATCTAGGGTTATTGTTATAACCACCATCATTATGTACCAATTGATATGCGACTGCAACTTGTATTGTGTCTGTTTTACTAATGGTTCAAAAAAAACTGATACCCGATTACTGATAGTATCAATATTGGTCAATACTAATGTTGATTATCAGTAT